AATATACGAAGTAAAAAGAAAAAACTCGAAAAAAAATATGAATGCTACCAAAGTGGCACTATTGTGTTTCCGTACATTTTGAAGACGCCCGGGACATGAGAGGGGGTGTTTGCGTCAGTTGCAGGCTTACCCCTTTGGCTGAACTGGTCCTAGCACTGCAAGAGAATTGGGACTCCCTCAAATCACCATTTGGAGATTCATTGGCAGTGTGCCTCGTCGAGAGAATGAATGTTTGACAAATCGTGGCGGTATTACCACTACTGATAAAATTGACGAATGTTCTATTTTGGAAGCTAAATACAAAATGAAAACACATTCAATATTTACCAGTGGTTTAAGTCGAATCGAGCCAGTGAGTATGTTCCAGGCCGCTTTTAGCACTATTCCAGCAATATCACAGCGGAGGACACCATAAATAGGTTTCACACATTGTATTTATGTGGGGAATCGAAACCGGCCTTCGTCGTGACGAGCTAACGCTTTAACCACTTGGCTACCCCACCGGCCCCTTATTGGTTAAATCGTTTGCTGATCACGCCGAAGAACTGGCTTGAACTGCAGGCATATAGACAAAAACTGTTTATTAACTAAAATACTTATCTTAAAGATAATGTTCGTTCGTATTTTTTTAGCTGTAATCATCTGCTAAAAGAACTGCTTATCTTGTTACCATGGTTACCTACAGAGTGCAGGATGAACATCTGTGACCAGGGCTATCAGTCAGTAGTTTCACCTGTGCCATGTGACCTACGTTGAGATAGCAACAGATTATTGACCTATGAATTTAATCTTCTTTAAACTCATTCAAGTGTTATCGACCAACAGGTGCGATGAGTTTCCCCACGTTGAGCGATAGTATACGATACGGTTTTATGTCGACAGCATATAACGAGTTTATGGTTTTATCGGCTTTACATATTCATCTCTGCTTTACTGAAACATCAGGAGTGATGTAACTGGTTTTCAATGATTATATCCTTTGTTGCATGGTGATCTTCCGACCGCCTCCGTGGTCTAGTAGTAGAGCGTCCGCCCGGATAGCGGAAGGTCCGGGGCTCGATTCCCGGCCGCGTCATATGAAAAGACGTTAAACAATGGTACTTCTTGTTACCCTATCTGACGCTCGGCGTTAAGGGGCTAAAACAAGGACTGGTCGGCTCGGAGTCAGTATACTGTATCTGAGAGCGGTATTCATGTTAAACTGCGGCATGGTGTCTCAGTGGGCTAACACTATAAATCGGCATCAGTCCGGACTAGAACAAGCAGCCACACACGCACACACGCGCGTGCATGTATGTCGCTATATAAGTTCACTTAGACGTGACGTTAAGCCCCATTACACCTCACCTCGACTCCTTCAACGCCCAGTCAATACCAAAATAAAATTCTAAATATTTTATTGACTAGTAAAAGTTCTAAATATGTTGTTTTACAAATAAAACAGTCAAAATATTTAGTGACAAATAAAACAGTCAAAATATTTTGTCAAATATAAAAAACAAATTATTGACAAATAAAACAGTCAAAAGTATTGAGAAATATAGGAACAGGTTTCAAGAACAGCTCAAGAACATTAAATTTGTATATGTGTACACTAACTGGAAGGGAAAATAATACATTTCTACAGCAAAGAAGTTGGTGGAATGACAGAGAAATGTACAGTGCTGTCGTCGAGAGATTAATATATAATAATTATGTGCAACTAATATTGATTTTGAAGAAATGTTTTGACACCGACTCGTGTAGAAACAAACTGGAAGCTCGGATATGACCTATTGCAACAATTAATTTTTGTTTTGTTTTGTTTTAGTGTGTTGTTTAACGCCACACTCAGCAATATTCCAGCTATATGACGGTGGTCTGTAAATAATCGAGTCTGAATCAGACAATCCATCGATTGATGTCATGAGCATCGATCCACACAATTTGGATACGATGACATGCATCAACCAAATCAGCAGGCCTGACCACCCAATCCCATTAGTCGCCTCTTACGACAAGCATAGTCGCCTTTTACGACAAGCATGGGTTGCTGAAGACCTATTCTACCCCGAATCTTCACGGGTAAATTTTAAATGTGTTGCCAGTTATAGTTTATATCGATCTACTAAAAATCCACCTTCTTGTTTAAACGCTCTTCGGTTAATTAAATTAAGGCAAATTAAATTTAAAGTTGAATTTTCGCAAACAACATACATGTATGTCAACGAACTTGCACACCGTTTCCAGCGATAGATGAACCAAAGTCTCACCGGGACGAGTGAGCAGAATTATGAAACTAGAGATGCTCAGCGCTTGACCTGGGACGTATATATTTAATTGATTTGTATTGGAGGTGAGTGTGTTAGGTTTTACGCCGCCTTTAGCAATAGTTCAGCCATAGAAAAGAGGACACCAAGCTTTGTACACGATGGGTACAAACCGAGGTTTTCGGAGTGATGAGTGAACACTTAACCACTTGGCTACCCCACCGCCCCTTCGTAAGCGTAAGGTGATTCTGGTAACTGCTAAAGGGTTAAGGTGTTGTAGTTATTATAGACAAAGTCGAGAGCTCAAACAGACATCTCTTTTCAAACAGATATAAACATGTGCTCCCAATATGTACTTCCAACAGAAGAGTCTCGTGTGGAGTCGAAAGCCGACGTTCGATTCCCCACATGGGTTCAATGTTTGAAGCCAATTTCAGGTGCCCCCCGTCCCGCAACCACCGTGATATTCCTGGAATATTTGGAAATTGCTTTAAGCTCACTCACTCACTCCCTCACTCACTCGCTCCAAATTTCAAATTCAAAATAAAACGGGCCCAATTATACTATTATCGTCTCTCGGAGCGTTATACACAGCCTGTCACAGATACCCTGAAACAAATGTATCCAATCCAATACAGACCATGAAAGTCTGTATTTTATATTTTAATAAGTCCTGACGACTGAAAGTCTCTTAGCTCCTTTGTATTATTTGTTATAACTATAATTTAATGACTGTTTTTTTCTGTAAATTATATTTATTTCAGCGACTTGATGTTAGTCCACATCCTCCTCAGGGAGTTGAGACCATGGATCGTGGCTAGTGTAGAAAGGTCATGTAGGATTGTGTGTATTCTGGCTTATATTTGATCAACTATTTTTGAGGTATCTGTATACCATACAAGATGGCATAGCTAATAGAACATAAATCGCTCCGTGGGATTGTCTCAACTCTGCCTTAGGTGCAATTAATCGACGACTTGCCGGGGTTCTTTATATGACGCCTAGGAATGTGATTATTCTTCGGTTGCCTGTTTAAAATTTAAAAAGTCGTCATAGAATAATTTCGTTCCTTATTTAATACGTGTCTTTCCCCGTGTGGGTTGCGGGTTAGAATAGGTCCCCGACAACCCATGGTGGTCGTAAAAGGCGAACAAATAGATCGGGTGGTCAGGTTCGGTAATTTGGTCCATCGCGTGTCATTGTATTCCGAAAACGAGGGTCGTTGCTCATAATATCAATCACTGGATTGTCTTGTCTATAGTACTACTACTACTACTACTACTACTACTACTACTCGACTACTACTACTACTACTACTACTAATACTAATACTAATACTACAACAAATAATAATAATAACAACAATAATAATAATGATAATAATAATTAATTAATAATTAATAATAAAAATAATTGTCCATTAATTTGTCCACACTACACAGGAGTCATAATCGAAGCGCTAATATTAGCCCGATCACTGGATCAGTGTGTACTCAACAGTCATTCTCAGCTCCCCGAGGAGTATCAACCCAAACAGCCTGTGAGGCGCTAAAAGGTTAACAACCACATTGCCATCTCATCCTACCGGGTACCCATTCACTGACATCCGATTATGAACTCTTGAGTCATGTCAACGTACCCAGCTGCCATGTCAAGGATTATTTCCCAATCCAGTTTCATGGCAGAAACACTGCTGAAGGCATGATGAAGTTGCAAACAGTGCCGTCATTCGTCATGCAAATTGCACTGGTGTCATTAAAATGGGTGTATTGCTCTGTATCTATGTAAATTCGAATGGGAATGCACGACCATGCGTGCTCATGAGGTAAGGGCTAAATGCGGTATTGATTTGTCACTTTGTGCGTGAAAAAAACAGATGAAAATCAAGTTTCAACACTGAAAGATTTGCATTTCAGATAAGCATGTCATGGCATACAGCGTACCAAACGGGGGTTGGCACTTTATGTTTGTAAGGTTGTTATGTAAGGTTAAATGGGGTTTAACGTCGCGTCCAAGATTATTGCACTTATATAGCGACGTGCAGGCACGTGTGTATGGCTGCTTGTACTAGTCCGGACTGATGCCGATTTTATAGTGCTAGCCACTGAGATATCATGCCGCACTTTAACATGAATACCTACTCAGACACAGTATCAACCAAACAGTTCTTGTTTTAGCCCCTTAACGCCGAGTGCAAGATAGGGTAACAACAAGTACCACCTTTTAACATCTTCTGGTATGACGTGGCCGGGGATCGAACTCCCGACCTTCCGCTCACCGGGCGGACGCTCTACCACTAGACCACGGAGGCGGTCACGTTATTGGGATCAGATATACACTAATACTGTGCGGCGTTGGTTTCTGAGATAAACGTGTTTTCATCTCAATGACCGCACAACATTTTTAGGGGGGCATGGGTGGCCCAGTCGTCTAAGGCGCCGCGATTCGCTGTGCAGAGTTGCGTCCCTTGGGCACGCCAGAAACCTATGATTGTGGGTTCGAATCCCGGTTCGCCCCAATTATGTTTCTAGGTTTGTCAGCACCATACCCGTGCTCGTGGGTTTCACCGAAGTGGTAAACGTCTAAGACCTGCATCACTTCGGGCTTTCCTCCCACATTAAGCTGACACGCCGCGATATAACTGTAATACTGTTAAAAGCGGCGTTAAACCAAACTCACTCGCTCACTCACTCACAACATTAATAACACAGAAGCGACCATAATCTCAATTGTAATTTTACATTATTTCAGGGCAGATCATAGAAGCCCTTAAAGAATGTGGGTCAAGGTCATGTAGCCCTGAACTTAAGGGCCTCTTACGTCGTTTCCGGTCCGAGCTTGAAGATACCTGCCAGAAAGCCATGCCCTACATCGAACAAGAGAGCCCCGAATACTTCGCCAGATTTCGGGACACCATCGCCAAGCCTTACATCCTTAAATACCGTCCATTTAGATTCCATGGAATGGAAGATGTAGAGATCGGCCACGACAATGAGTATGATGAGGAAGAGGGAGATCGATGCTACGCCAGGCTCCTTGGAACTTTCAAAGAAAATGAACGGTAACAGGGTTTTCTGTCTCAAAAAATTCACCGGGGTTTGTCTGTTTCGTGTGTTCTTTTAACGCCACTCTCTCGACCTGTGAAGATTCCGGGGTAGAATAGGTCTTCAGCAACCCATGCTTGCCGTAAAAGGTGACTATGCTTGTCGTAAAAGGCGACTAACGGGATCGGGTGGTTAGGCTCGCTGACTTGGTTGACGCATGTCATCGATCCCAATTGCGTGGATCGATGCTCATGATATCAATAACTGGATTGTCTGGTCCAGACTCGATTATTTACAGACCGCCGTCATATAGCTGGAATATTGCTGAGTGCGGCGTTAAACAACGAACCAACAACAACCAACAATTAACGCCACTCTCAGCAATATACCAGCTACATGACGTCCGTCTTTAATCAATCGAAAAAGGTGGAGACAATCTAGTGATTGACATCATGAGCATCTATCTACGACATTGGGATACCATGACATGCATCAACCAAGTCAGCGAGCCTGACATCCCGATCCCGTTAGTCGCCTCTTAAGGCAAGCATGGGTTGCTGAAGACTAATTTAAACGTCTGTCTGTGCGTGCGTGTGTTTATGAGGGTGGGTGGGTTCGCGTGTGTATGTGCGTGCGTGCGTGCGTGCGTGCGTGCCTGCGTGCGTGTACTAGTCCGGACTTATGCCGCAGTTTACACCAGATACCCCACTCTGATCCGACCAGTCCTAATTTTATCCTCTTAAATACTTAGCGCCAGCAGGCAGGGAAACAACAAGTACCATCTTTCAACGTCTTTTGGTATGAACCGGCCGTGGATCGAATCCCCGTCTTTCCACTCTCCGGGCAGACGCTTTATCCACAAGACCACGGAGGCTGTCTTCAATTTTTTTAAAGTTCTCTTGCCTTACTATTTTGACTAAATATTATATTAGATAGGAAAGAAAGTTACACTAAAACGTGAACTGGAGATATCAATACATGAATTTATTGATATCAAATGATCAAATTTGTGATATCATTAAAGTGATTATTAATGTAATAAAAAGGGAATATATAGTAAAACGGTCCCACAGGTCGAAGAGAATAACTCAAGATTTGTTAAGTCTAGATTGCCTCAGCGCTAAGCATTAAGCATTGGGCTCCATTTGGACTATATTTTATTTATTTTGTAGGTATATATTTGAAATAAGATAATTTTATTTCTGGGACTAAATATTAGTCATCCGCCCCTCATCATTTTCCATCTCTGTCCTCAGCACCATCCCCCGTTGCAACGTGACCCAGCCGTGCCTTGACCTCGTGACAAAGGGGGACACCAAAAGATACAGCATCACTCACCAGCTGCTCTACTTCATCGTCGTGGAACACGTGAGTACGCCATTCGTGACAAACTCGTGTTAATCCGGGACAAGCCGAATGGAGACTCGTGACCCTCTCGTGGCCATGTTTGCAAACGGGCGAAATTAAAGGAATTGTCAACGCGTTGCGTGATGATTTACGAATATTTCCCCCATGTCATATATATTCCAGATGCTATTTATAACACATCGGGACTTACGGTATTTATACAGTATGATTCAACACGTGTAACTGTATCAAGGGAATATTTTTAGATGCAAGACATGTAAAATGAAATAAAATAAAATAAAATAAAATATTACTGAGGGATTCTTTGACCGAAGTTCTTGAAGTCATACGCGCATTCTGATTGATTTGTCGTGTTTTCCCACATAACGTTCATCGATAGTGGGACGAGACTTCTTGCAGGTTACGGAAAGGGGCGAGAGGTGACGAATGGTGAGTCCCCGTCCACTCGGCATTCCTCGTTTCTCTCCGTGAACGCCGTCAAAGGAGCTTATGGTGTGATGCTGTTATAAATCTCCTCTAAAACCAAATGGCCATTATTATGGAACTTTATGTCCATGATCCGGGGAAGTATGTGTCTAAAGTTGTCGGAATTACAACTGTATTTAACACATGTTATATAACCTGTTGAAACCATCATAGAGCCAATAAATACGTGATACCGCTCTTATTACCTAGTTTTTGCCTATAAAACTCCAGTTTTCACGAAGTTCAAAGTTTGTATGTGTGGTCCCAGTAAATTCTTTGTGGACCAATTTCAAAATGGCTGCCATGGCGGCCATGTTGAAAATGAGTATTATCTGGGATACTGGAATCGTCTAAGGCGCCGCAATTCTATGTGCAGAGTTGCGTCCCTTAGTTTCACCAAAAACCTACGTTCGTGGGTTCGAATCCCGGCTCTCCCCGATTATGTTTCTAGGTTTATCAGCACCATACCCGTGCTCATGGGTTTCACCGAAGTGGTAAATGTCTAAGACCTGCATTACTTCGGGCTTTTCTCCCACATTAAGCTGACACGCCGTGATATAACTGGAATACTGTTCAAAACGGTGTTAAACCAATGCAATGCCCCACTCGCGCGCTCACTCACTCACTCATTATTGACCTATCAGCATGATGTATTTCTTCCCTATAGTGGCATGTCGGCTTTGTGCGAGTTGCAACATGTTAATACAGCTCCTTTATCCGGCATTGGTTAGCAAAATTAATAAAATAGTCGAAGTCATGATTTATGTTCTACAATGACGTCGTGAAACATTACTCCTCAGTTTAAAGAATATTGGATGATGGATTTGAGCCGGAACTGGTATAAGCTGAGTTCATCCGTTAATTTTGTAAATTCCAAATTAATCTCCTCAACTCACTATCCCACCTTTAACTGATATCCCAGAAACGCCATGCCAGGCTTATCACATACATGTTGATGGTAGCTTTGCGTGTAGTCTAGTCATAAGCCTTGTTTTGGTAAATGACTTGCCTCAAAACACAATCATCGATCTACAGGGACGCAATTAATGCATTAGCGTTTATCTGTGTGACATTGGCATCACATCAGATCTGCAGTGACCCAGTATCCTTGTACTCTAGTATCCCAGTATCTACCCCAGTACCAAGTATCAAGTATCTCAGTACCCAGTATTCAGTACCCTGTACCCAGTGTCCAGTATCCCAGTATCCCAGTACCAAGTATCCCAGTATCAAGTATATCAGTACCCGAGTATCTAGTATCCAAGTACCCTGTAGCCCAGATTCGCAGTATCCCAGTATCCCAGTATCTCAATACCCGAGTATCCAGTATCTGTGTATCCAGTACCCGAGTATCCAGTATCCGTGTATCCAGTACCCGAGTATCCAGTATCCAGAACCCGTGTATCCAGTATCCGTGTTTCCCAGTATCTAGTTTCCCAGTACCCAAGTGTCAAGTAACCCAGTGTCCAGTATCTAAGTATCCAGTATCTCAGTATCCTAGTATCCAGTAACCCTGTATCCCAGCTGCCCAGTACCCAGTATCCCAGTACCAAGTATCTAGTATCCCAGTACCTAGTACCCAATAGCTAAGTACCTAGTATCTAGTATCCCAGCTGCCAAGTACCCCAGTGTCCAGTATGCCAGTTCCCAGTATCCAGTATCCCAGTACCCAGTACATCAGTGTCTAGTATCCCAGTACCCCAGTAGCTAGTACCCAGTATCCCAGTGTCCAGTATATCAGTACCCAGTATCCAGTATCCCAGTACCCCAGTGTCCAGTACCCCAGTACTCCAGTGTCCAGTTTCCAATATTCTAGTATTCAGTACTCGATTACCCAGTATCCATACCAAATATCCCAGTAACCCAGTGTCCATTATATCAGTACCTGAGTTTCCAGTATTCCAGTAGCCAAGAATCCCCAGTATCTCAGTACCTAGTATCCCAGTACCCTATTTCCCAGTGTTCCAGTATTTCAGTATCCTAGTACCCCAGTACCCGAACACCGGGCACATCAGTATCCTAACCCCCTTGTACCCAGTATTCCAGTATCCTAGTACCCCAGTACCCGGTACACCAGTATCCTAGTCCCATTGTATCCAGTATTCCAGTATCCTAGTACCCCAGTACCCGGTACACCAGTATCCTAGTCCCCTTGTACCCAGTATTCCAGTATCCTAGTACCCCAGTACCCGGTACACTAGTATCCCTTGTAAACTTGCTACAGTAATGGCGGTTACAATGTGTGTACTGGCTGATTGCGTACAATCGAACCCCGACGACTTGGATGCTCAAACTGTCAGACACCGGTTTGCCTACCCCAAACTCCGACCGCCGTCGATACGTTCGCAATATCAAGTTGACCCGTCCTGCATCTTGACCGCGTAATTTAATGTTGAAAATACAGCCTAGATGATACAAAGAGGCACGTCCAGGATTAGAAATGTGAAAGTGAGAAATGCATTGTGAAATATAGTAAACTACGGTAATAGCGAACACGCTTATAACGAACTGACGGATATAACGAACTTACTTTTTTGGTCCCGACTATTTGCTGTAGTTATGCTGTATATATGCTTATAACGAAATACGGTTATAACGAACTAAAATTAGTAGTCCCTTTGAGTTCGTTATAACCGTACTTTACTGTATAAGATTTAAAGGGCTATACAGTCTACAAGTGGACCCAGGTCAATATGTCACCCCGACTTCCTGCCAGCTGGTCACTGATCGGTATCACTTTCTATGTTGCGACCCGTGAAGATTCCGGGGTAGAATAGGTCTTCAGCAACCCATGCTTGCCGTAAAAGGCGACTATGCTTGTCGTAAAAGGCGACTAACAGGATCGGGTGGTCAGGCTCGCTGACTTGGTTGACGCATGTCATCAATCCCAATTGCGTGGATTGATGTTCATGCTGTCAATCACTGGATTGTCTGGTCCAGACTCGATTATTTACAGACCGCCGTCATATAGCTGGAATATTGCTGAGTGCGGCGTTAAACGTTAAACAAAAAAAACAAAAACAAAAAAACTTTCTATGTTGCAGACTGGATGCAACGAGAAGCTACAGCAGCAGAGCTCCTCTCTAAGCTCTGCGGGTATCCGTGAGATAGAAGACAGATTCTGCCAGAAGATATACAAAGAGGCCAGCACACTTGCCAAGACGGGATCAGTCATGATCGGCTCTCAGGACCTTTTCTTAGAACAATGTAATTAGGTTTATGCAATTTTGTCGATATTTGACAGGCTGGATTTATTTTAATGTGTAGGTGCACTGGTTTCCACTCCTCTTGGGTTGTTAATTCGCTGTCTAGAGTTGTCTCCCTTAGTCGTGAAAGGAGCCTATGATAATGGGTTCGCATTCGCCCTAGGTGTGCCATTGGCTGTCCGGAGTTGTCTCCTTTAGTCGTAACAGGATCCTATGATAAAGGGATCGGATTTGCCCTACATGTAGGTGCGCCATTGGCTGTCTGGAATTGTCTCCCTTAGATATGTCAGGATTACCATGACCTCACAATCAAAGGACATCACTAATTGCTCTGCTGCTGAAGCTGTTAGAAATACTTTTTACACTTATAAGACACAGCTTATTACTGTCTTCACACTGAAAAGTTGGAATAATGATGTTGGATGATAAATAAAATCTCACCTTCGTATCTTTTGATATCAAATATATCAACACTCGTTGATAAAAATGGAAAAAACTCCTCGACAAGCCTCGGTGTTTTTTCGAATTTCATCAACTCGTGTTGATATATTTCATATCAAAAGTCACTCGGCTGAATTTTATATGTGGTGACATGCCGCACAACACCAACTCGGTTTAGTAAAATCACTGGAACAAGTGACGTCATGATAACCACATGCATGTTCTTTAATGACGTTGTGAACAATTACCCCTCAGTTACCAGACTATAGGAAGATGGCGTTGAGCCGAAACGTGCAGTTCCGGTAGTGGCAGTAGTAGCAGCAGTGGTGGAACTGAAAATACGTAGACGTTGTAGATGTCGTTGTATGTGTGGAAGAGGTGTGGTACCTATACGTTAGTACCACGTCAACGAAAATTGAGTGATTGAGTGGGTTTGACCTTACGCCGCTTTTAGCAATATTCCAGCAATATCACGGCGGGGGACACCAGAAATATGCTTCACACATTGTACCCATCAACGAAAAGTACAATATCTTACATCATCATCATAAACATCAAAGTCGGGATCAGTGAGTGAGTGACTGATTTTAAGCATTAATCATGTGATAGCATTTCCGTATCACAGTGTCAGGTCGTATCACACCAGTGTCTTGATATCTGCTTTCTAGACAGCTGCCGTAGCAAGGGGCGAAACTACCATTATAGCAGAGAAGCAATTGTTTACACCTTTAAAAAAGCAAAAACATTTTACAGCGAAACCAAGCACATTTAAAAAAAGAAAAGAAATAGAGAATCTCACCCTCGTGTCTTTTGATATCAAATATATCAACACGAGTTGATAAAAGTGGGAAAACTCCGAGGCTTGCCGAGGATTTTTGCCACTTTTATCAACGAGTGTTGATATATTTGATATCAAAAGACACGAGGGTGAGATTTTATTTATCATCCAACATCATTCTTTCAACTTTTTCAATTTGTAGACAGTAATTAGCAGTGTCTTCAGTGTAAAAAGTATTGAAAACAGCTTCAGTAGCAGAGCCATTAGTGATGTCATTTGATTGTGACGGCATGGTTACCAGTGACGTCACAATGGTCAGCAAACCATTGTGATGTAATTTCATTGTAGCGATATCTACAGTGTAGATATCGCTTGATCTCATCCAAGCGATATCTCCTGTGGGAGCCAGTTTTGGATGATAAGTAAACTTACCATCCACGCAGAAAATTATTCTTTCAAACTGTACACGGTCGAACGTGATATTTATTGTCTAAATTATTTTCATTTTAATGATAGGTCGGCTGGCTTTAAAAAATGAAAAATAAATAACCGTCACATACTACGAATGAACATGTAAAAACACATAAAAGAAATATCGATTCATTTAATGTTCAAATTTCATTTGTCATTATAGATGTGTCTTGATTGAAAGTCGAATATGTGTTGGTGAAACACGTACATGTATATATATATATATTACTTATAACAAAATATAATAAATAAATTACTAATATTTGTTACAAATAAAATCAAACATATGAACGGTCCCAAAATGCAGGAAATAGCGTTTAAGAGCACCTAATGTTTAAAATTTCTGACGTGGGACACAAAGACCGCTCGTGAGCTTGAACGCTTCGCGCCCTCGTAAAAATTTGTAGAAATTAGCCTAGTTGCGCCCCAGGGAGCCGTCGGGATAGCATCTGTGATGAAGCTGTATGATGAGCAGCTGCACGTCTCAATTCCATCCGGATACAGCGTTGAAAACAATAATGACATGTGTATTAATAGTTACAGTGTATTGTGTCCCCATGCTTGCGTAAGAGCTGAGACCTTTGTTTTCAATTGGATTAGTGTTTTTCTTTCCCTCGAAACTTTTGTCGGAGGCCGAAATGTGAAAATATTTTATTAGATCCTTCAATTCCTTATATTTAAAAAATATGTTATAAAATATATGTTATAAATAAAATACTATTATTCAGGTGTCCGTGTGGCGGTGGGGTAGCCTAGTGGTTAAAGCGTTTGCTCGTCACAACGAAGACCTGGTCTCGATTTCCCACATGGGTACAATGTGTGAAGCCGATTTCTGGTGTCCCCTGTCGTGATATTGCTGGAATAGTGCTAAAAGCGGCGTAAAACCATACTCACTCACTATTGATCTTGCGAAAATGTAAAATTTCCAGTTATTCTACACGTGAGCGACACTTGGTTATACCCAGAGTTTATTACATCAGAGACGATACAGTAAACTACGTTTATAACGAACACGTTTATAACGAACTGACGGATATAACGAACTTACTTTTTTGCTCCGACTATTTGCTGTAGTTATGCTGTATATATGCATATAACGAACTACGGCTATAAAGAACTAAAATTAGTGGTCCCTTTGAGTTCGTTATAACCGTAGTTAACTGTATATCGATATATTGGTATATGGTCTCTGGTTATATCGATAGTTGATAGTTGTTCTGTCACTGATTGTGATTATTCTGTTGCAGCCGTCTTGTGTGGGGCTCTCGGCTATGAGAATTTCTTCAAGCCAAGATACATTGACATGGTGCTAAAGATGCAAGCCCCCGAAGGATGCTTTAAAATGGGATTTGAATCAGACAGCGTCATAATGGCCACGCTAGAAAAGTGAGCCCCTACCATGTAAAGGTTAATTGTAGGGCGGTGTATGCATGCCTGCGTGTGCCTGTGTGTGCGCGTGTTCATGTGTGTGTGCGCGCGTGTATGTGCGTGCGTGCGTGCGTGTGTTCACGTGTGTGCTAGGCCGGATTAACACCCATTTTGTAGCGTTAATCCATTGAGATACCATGACGCAGTTTAACATGTATACCCTACTCTCTTAGACACATTATACTGACCCCGAGCCGACAAGCCCTTGTTTTATCCCCTTAATGCCGAGCGTCAGGCGGGGTAACAACAAGTACCATATTTTAACGTCTTGCATGGCGCGGTGAACAAGTGAATCTGGATAATGATCTGAACAACCTGGAACCGATCATGGCCTTCTTAATCTACAAACCTTGTCTTCAGATTAGGTGGGGGGGGGGGGGGGGGGGGGGGGGACTCACAACCGTGATGGATTACTGTGTCCTTGATCCCATCACTCTTTGATGATCCAGCTGTGAGGTGAAATTGGTCCACAGAGCATCCATTTATAGTTGAAGCCGAATAAAATCCCCATGGAATGTAGAAAGCACATGAAGCAAAGAGTTATTTCCCCTCTACTATATGACAGCGAAAAAAATTAAGAAAACTTTGAAAACAAACATTTCATTAACAAATGTCAACTTGTCGTCAGATCCAAACGGAAGCAGTTGTAGTTTTGTCCTTTCTTTCTTTGTTGTTTTACGCCGCAGTTAGAAAAATGGTAGTATCAGTAGTAGTAGTTGTAATAGTAGTAGTTGTAGTAGTAATTGTAATAGAAGTAGTAGTTGTTGCAGTAGTAGTAGTAGTAGTAGTAGTTGCAGTAGTAGTAGCAGTAGTAGAAGTAGTAGTTGTAATATCAGTAAGCGTCGTAGTAGCAGTTGTTGTAATAGTTGTAGTTATAGTAGTAGTTGTTGTAGAAGTAGTAGTAGTAGTAGTGGTAGTAGTAACTGTAGTTGTAGTAGTTGTTGTTGCAGAAAAAGTAGAAGTAGTTTTGTAGTTATAGAAGTAGTTGTTGTAGAAGTAGTAATAGTAGCAGTAACTGTAGTTGTAGTAGTTGTTGTTGCAGAAAAAGTAGTAGTTGTAATAGCAGTAGTTGTAGTAGTAGTAGTTGTTGTTGTAATCGCAGTAGTCGTTTCAGTAGTAATAGTAGTTTCAGTAGTAATAGTAGAAGTAGTAGTAGTAGTAGTAGTAGTAGAAGTAGTAGCAGCAGTAGTTGTAGTATTTGTTGTTGTAGTTGTAATAGTAGCAGCATTATCACACGCCATCTGCTGTCCTTCATTTACCTGATATGTATAACATTCCAAGCAACACTGTCCCGAATGGTAGGTGTCCGGATTAACGTTGTCCTGACTAAATATTTTCTCTCTTCATCAGGCTGAGATCTTCAAGAAGACTTCTGCGAGAGCAACCAATGAAAGGTTTGTTTTTGTCTTGTTTGTTGTTTATAGCCGCTCTTACTGCTATTCCAGCGATATGACGGCACCCTGTCTCATTGTGTGTCATCGTACCTCGACGTCGTTATTCATTGTGTGTCATCGTACCTCGACGTCGTGGATCGTTGTTCATTGTGTGTCATCGTACCTCGACGTCGTGGATCGTTGTTCATTGTGTGTCATCGTACCTCGACGTTGTTGATCGTTATTCATTGTGTGTCATCGTACCTCGACGTCATGGGTCGTTGTTCATTGTGTGTCATCGTACCTCGACGTCGTCGGTCGTTGTTCATTGTGTGTCATCGTACCTCGACGTCGTGGATCGTTGTTCATTGTGTGTCATCGTACATCGACGTCATGGGTCGTTGTTCATTGTGTGTCATCGTACCTCGACGTCGTGGGTCGTTGTTCATTGTTTGTCATCGTACCTCGACGTCATAGGTCGTTTTTCATTGTGTGTAATCGTACCTCGACGTCGTGGGTTGTTGTTCATTGTGTGTCATCGTACCTCGACGTCGTGTGTCGTTGTTCATTGTGTGTCATCGTACCTCGACGTTGTTGATCGTTGTTCATTGTGTGTCATCGTACCTCGACGTCGTGTGTCGTTGTTCATTGTGTGTCATCGTACCTCGACGTCGTGGATCCTTGTTCAATGTGTGTCATCGTACCTCGACGTCGTTGTTCATTGTGTGTCATCGTAGCTCGACGTCGTGGGTCGTTATTCATTGTGTGGCATCGTACCTCGACGTCGTTGTTCATTGTGTGTCATCGTAGCTCGACATCATGGGTCGTTGTTCATTGTGTGTCATCGTATCTCGACGTCATGGGGCATTGTTCATTGTGTGTCATCGTACCTCGACGTCATGGGGCATTGTTCATTGTGTGTCATCGTACCTCGACGTCGTGGGTCGTTGTTCATTGTGTGCCATCGTACCTCGACGTCGTGGGTCGTTGTTCATTGTGTGTCATCGTACCTCGACGTCGTAGGTCGTTGTTCATTGTGTGTCATCGTACCTCGACGTCTTGGATCGATGTTCATTGTGTGCCATCGTACCTCGACGTCGTTGATTGTTGTTCATTGTGTGTCATCGTACCTCGACGTCGTGGGTCGTTGTTCATTGTGTGTCATCGTACCTCGACGTCGTGGATCGTTGTTCATTGTGTGTCATCGTACCTCGACGTTGTTGATCGTTATTCATTGTGTGTCATCGTACCTCGACGTCATGGGTCGTTGTTCATTGTGTGTCATCGTACCTCGACGTCGTGGATCGTTGTTCATTGTGTGTCATCGTACATCGAAGTCATGGGTCGTTGTTCATTGTGTGTCATCGTACCTCGACGTCGTGGGTCGTTGTTCATTGTTTGTCATCGTACCTCGACGTCATGGGTCGTTGTTCATTGTGTGTCATCGTACCTCGACGTCGTGGGTTTTTGTTCATTGTGTGTCATCGTACCTCGACGTTGTTGATCGTTGTTCATTGTGTGTCATCGTATCTCGACGTCGTGTGTCGTTGTTCATTGTGTGTCATCGTACCTCGACGTTGTTGATCGTTGTTCATTGTGTGTCATCGTACCTCGACGTCGTGTGTCGTTGTTCATTGTGTGTCATCGTACCTCGACGTCGTCGGTCGTTGTTCATTGTGTATCATCGTACCTCAACGTCGTGGATCCTTGTTCAATGTGTGTCATCGTACCTCGACGTCGTTGTTCATTGTGTGTCATCGTAGCTCGACGTCGTGGGTCGTTATTCATTGTGTGTCATCGTACCTCGACGTCGTTGTTCATTGTGTGTCATCGTAGCTCGACATCATGGGTCGTTGTTCATTGTGTGTCATCGTACCTCGACGTCATGGGGCATTGTTCATTTTGTGTCATCGTACCTCGACGTCATGGGGCATTGTTCATTGTGTGTCATCGTACCTCGACGTCGTGGGTCGTTGTTCATTGTGTGCCATCGTACCTCGACGTCGTGGGTCGTTGTTCATTGTGTGTCATCGTACCTCGACGTCGTAGGTCGTTGTTCATTGTGTGTCATCGTACCTCGACGTCTTGGATCGATGTTCATTGTGTGCCATCGTACCTCGACGTCGTGGATCCTTGTTCATTGTGTGTCATCGTACCTCGACGTCGTTGATCGTTGTTCATTGTGTGTCATCGTACCTCGACGTCGTGGGTCGTTGTTCATTGTGTGTCATCGTACCTCGACGTCGTGGATCCTTGTTCATTGTGTTTCATCGTACCTCGACGTCGTTGATCGTTGTTCATTGTGTGTCATCGTACCTCGACGTCGTGGATCGGTGTTCATTGTGTGTCATCGTACCTCGACGTCGTTGTTCATTGTGTGTCATCGTACCTCGACGTCGTTGATCGGTGTTCATTGTGTGTCATCGTACCTCGACGTCGTTGTTCATTGTGTGTCATCGTACCTCGACGTCGTGGATCGGTGTTCATTGTGTGTCATCGTACCTCGACGTCGTGGATCGTTGTTCATTGTGTGCCATCGTACCTCGACGTCGCGGGTCGTGTTTCATGGTTTCAGTGACTCAATGTTCTGCTCCAGACTGGCTTATTTACATGTCGCCGCAAAATAGCTGAAACATTGCTGACTGCGGCGTTAAACAACAATCACGCAGTCAGTGTAAAGGGAGATTCAACGCTGAAGGTGTACATTTTTTATCAAGGCGTTTGGAAATAACGTTTAAATCGATGCCTGGGTGTATTAAGATAATATATACTACTATAAAGAAGTAGAAGGACTCCCAATTCTTTCATACCGCTAGTAAATCGGCCTTGCCATGCCAGTATACAATTGGATCATTATTCAATAATATGAAACAGTATCCAAACATGCTATACTACTAGGTACATTCACGTTATTTAAAGCAAGTAAAAATACAGATTCCATTGTTTCAAATAAAAAAACAGATTTGACGGGCCTTGTTATGCCATTGTATTTAAATATACCCTTGGCATATTATAAGCATTGGTTTTCTGTTTCATGGAAAAAACATACCCCCATAAAAAGTAGAGAAGTATTTGTAAATGAAAAATGAGTAAGTGTTATTATAATGAATATTCATGAATGTTGCATACAGACTCACAGAGCGTCATGTTTACTTTCAGATGGCTGTCTGTCCCACAAATCAGGTTTAGGCATCGGCACGCTAGCTCTGTACCTCAGATACCTCGTAAGGAGTATGATCTGACAACGTGTATAATAAACACCCGGGCAGCTAAACTTGTGACTGTTTTCTTTGGAAGGAAATATTGGCTAGGGGGGTAGTTGAAGCTTGAAAGACTATTGCATTTGGATATGACGTAAAAGTCTCAAGTTCGAGTTCTTTCTTCTTTTTTATGTGTAAATAAAACGTTAACGTTAGGAATTAGACAATCAATAATAAATATGATGATGATGATGATGATGATGATGATGATGATGATAATGACGAGGACGACTACGATGATGATGATGATGATGATGATGATGATGATGATGATGATGATGACGACGACGACGACGATGATGATGATGATGTGGGGCAGGGTCGAAGCCCTAGAAACTCTTGCTGGGGTTACGCTTGCTGAACACTGTCGCCCCAGCCGCCTACTCTCCGCAACCAACGTTGCCTTATTTGTGACCTTATGTACTATGTACAGGACCACGTGTCACGCTAAACCCAGAAGTTAATCATGTTAAACGTCACGTTGAGTAGGATCTATGTTATGGCGTGACAGCATATTTAAGTATAGCAAAGCTCGCATTGACATGAGTCGTGGACATTAAGATAAACAAGAGTAAACATATCGCTATTAGGGAGGTAACTCTCACAGAGAAGTATGGTTCATATTTTAAAATAACAAACGCACTCACAACGTTATAATTATTTATGTTTGTCGTATATACGCACATCATTATACACATGAGAGACAAAGATAAAGATTTGACATCGTTCCAACGATTACTCATCCATATTGGGGCGGGGGAGTGGGCACAGGTGGCCCAGTCAGCTAAGGCGCCGCAATTCACTGTGCAGAGTTGCGTCCCTTGGGCTCGCCAAAAACCTATGATCGTGGGTTCGAATCTCGATTCACCCCGATTATGTTTCTAGGGTTGTCAGCACCATACCCGTGCTCGTGGGGTTCTCCAAAGTGGCGTTACAACCCAACTCACTCACTCACTCATGAGGGGCACCTTTCGTCCCTTGGGCACGCCAGAAACCTATGATTGTGGGTTCGAATCCCAGTTCGCTCCGATTATGTTTCAAGGGTTGTCAGCACCATACCGTGCTCTTGGGTTTCACCGAAGTAGAAAACGCCTAAGACCTGCTTCGCTTAGGGCACCTGGTACAATAGTAAATCAAGTACCTAAAACAGCTTGTTCAGATGGGATCATTTTTTTTGTAGAGGGGCATGGTTAACAAAGACAATGTTTCCCGGGGTGATCTAGTTCACAGTGAACTCACTATGGGTGAGTGAGGGTGTGGGGTTGAGCTTGGATTAAGTCTTCCAACTTGTCCAGCATCATTCATGGGAAATATTCAGGATGTCCTGCCACCATAAATACCAAAGACGACCTGGTCACGAAATACTATAATATCCAGAATTATTTGGCCAATGAAGCTCAAATTACATTTAAGTTCCTTGCACACCTTAAGCAGACAGTACGCACAGAATCTTAGCCACTTCCCAGAATGTATTGAAATGTATAATAAAATATTCAGGTGTCAACTGATAAACTTGTGTCTCTTATTTCTCTAATTTCTGTTACAAGTCCCTGAGGGACCGATCCCACTAATCCTAAACACTTTTTAAACACTCCCACCATTTAAAAAACACGCTGGGGATTAACTGTTGGCCAGCTGTTGGAGAAGTAGGAATGCAACGCTTGGCATAAAGCCGCTGTGAACAGTTATTCCAGATTTGTTGAAATACAAAGAGCATACACGTTAACGCTCCTGTATTTACCGACATTGAAACTACCCCAAGATAACGCCGAAAATAATGGAAGTGTGCGAGAAAGTTAGGTATACCGCTTTGCAAAGTATTCCAGCTATATGTGAGTGAGAGATTGAGTACGGTTTTACGCCGCTTTTAGCAATATTCCAGCAATATCACGGCGGGGGACACCAGGTCCAGCTATATCTATATCACGGCGTGTCAGCTTGACGATGAGGAAATCTCGAAGTGATGCAGGTCTCAGACGTTTACCACTTTGGTGAAACCCACGAGCTCGGGTATGGTGCTGACAAACTTGAAACATAATCGGGGCAAACGGGATTCGATCCCACGATCTAAGGATTCTGGCGTGCCCAAGGGACGCAACTCTACTCGGCGAATTGCGACGCCGTAGACGACTGGGTCAGCCGTATCATCTGATATAGAAATAAGGACAATATCCAAAAGAACGTGTGCGCTTTGATGATAGTATCAGCGGGTGCTGATCACTGGGCCTTGGTGACGCGAACTGGCTGATAGACACAAACAAAATGTTTCAAATCTATATACAGACTTGCATATTTGCATACAGAGTACATACCATTAGTGATGGTGTCTTTAGTTGCCGTATACGGTGTCATATTAGGTTAGCAGAAAAATATTGGGCGAGGCGTCAGCCATTGCTGACGTCAAAGGGAGGCCACTCTTCAAACCTTAGAGGCCAACCTTGTTGAACATTTTATCAATAAAGTCACGAATGTGATCTAAAACAGATTAATATCCTTGCACATCACAATTAATGATAGGAAAACACAAAACAGTGTCAAATAACGAATTTCGGTAGCAGCATTTGAAATGTGAAATATGTGAGTTGGGTGATAGAAAATCCAAGATGGCTGTTACTGTTTGTATACGGTCTCATATTAGGTCAGTATCAACCATCTTGGATTTTTACTGACGGTATATGGGCTCATGTGGGGTCAGTAGTTCTGCTCTCTGGTAGGTCAATCTCACTTTGAGGCATAATAAAATGGCATATATCCCTAAACCATTTGATAATGGGTTCGACATATGGAAAAACTATGGAATAATGTAAAGGATATTCTCGCGTTTTCCCACTCTTGCGATATCCCTCACAGTATTCCATACAAAACATTAAACCTAACTGTGATATATAATGTCGGTTAATAGAAGAAGCAAGGGCTCATTGAGTTTAAGAATTAAAAGCCTTGACGTTTTGGTCTCTAGAAAGAGAAATAGTGACGTAATATGGCGTTTTTCACTGGGCGTTTATCATCGCCCGCAGCGCTCTTGTCTTCTTCCTCATAGCAAGATGAATAAAGAGCGCCATCTCCATGAGGTCAGAATCGACATTCACCTTGCTGGGGTCTTCCTCCTCTTTTTCCTCTTTATGGCTGTCGGGAACGTGGGTAGCGGGGCCACGACGTCTTGGTGGCAGTGATTCATCTTGAAGAACAGGGGTAAGATCAGTACTTCTTGCCCGTCTGAAAAACGGATCAACGTAATCAGACGTGATGGAAATGCGTTCAGATTTCGTACTTTTAGACGAACTCGTACTGAGATGACTTTTCCTGGAGGTTTTCGAAAAACTTCGAACTGGAACATCGGGATCTTTCGAACAACCAGGAGTTGGCTCAAATTCTTTCGACGTCCCGGGTTTAGGATCATCAGCTGGAGGCTTAGGCGATGCGGGAACTGGTTGGTGATCTGCATCTTTCGAACAACCTGGAATTGCATCTAACTCTGTCGACGTCACGTGTATGAGTTCATCGAGAGGGGGCTTAGACGATGCGGGGACTTGTTGGTTGTCGGGGTCTGCGGTCTCAACTGGGGTCAAATCAGACTGGGACTTCGCTGTTCTTGGTCTCGTTTCGCCAACGTCTTGCACGTCATCATCCTGCTCCGTTTTGACGACGTCATCGTGATCGGTAGCATCTTGGCGGATGTTGCTGTAATTGCAAAGGACGAAAGGTAACATACATGATGATTAACGTATCACTCACTCACTCACGCACTCACGAACTTGGTATTTAACCTCTTTGATAATTTACATAAATAATGTGTTTCAGAAAATGATTATCAATCCGAGCAAAGGTTAAGTTTGAAAATATGAATATTGATGAAAATTAATTGTACTTGTAGACGCGTAATGTGGCCGAAATATACACCCACCCACACACCCAAACCTACTCCCTCACTCACTCACTCGACGACCCAAGACTCAACATTCCCGGCCAGGCCAACAACTCATCCATGAATGGTGGTGTTAATTGCGGCTCAAACAATTTAAAGGAAGGCGTCGTATGAATGATTAATGTCCGAGGGTCCAGCGTCATGGAACGCCACAGATGTCCCAGCAAGGCGCCATTGAAGAGGACCACAGGGAATACGGTCATCGAGTCTTCATTATGGACTATTTAATCATCAAGAATTAATTACATACATTCTCTTCTTGATCGCTGTGTGACGGTAGCAGGTGTTTAATGGTTAGATTGAAACATTATTGAGTTTCAGTCCTAATTAAATATTGTCACGTGGACATGACACGTACGGAGCGCATAGGTGTGAAGCCACAGAAACTCCTTAAACCGGTTTATCATATTTGTATGAAAACTGTTTATTTCGTTTATTCTCTCTTCTTTTTCTCAACCGTTGAGAAAGTGTTTTGTTTCTTTCTTTGTTGTTTAACGTCGCACTCAGCAATATTCCAGCTATATGACGACGGTCTGTAAAAAATCGAGTCTGGATCAGACAATCCAGTGATTGATAACATGAGCATCGATCCACGCAATTGGGATACGATGACATGCGTCAACCAAGTCAGTGAGCTTGACCACCCGATCCCGTTAGTCGCCTCTTACGACAAGCATAGTCGCCTTTTACGTCAAGCATTGGTTGCTGAAGACCTTTTCTACCCCGGATTTTCATGGGTCGTTAAAGAAGTGAAGTTGGGCAGTTTTGACTGAGTGAGTGAGTGAGATAATAAGGGTAGACGCTGTAGTAGTCTTTTTCACGATATATCGAACTTTGGACGGAGGAACCAGAGGTTGATAGTGTGAGCACCATCTTGACCACCTGATCCACATTAAAGCCTCTCTGAACGACGGGCACGGGGTCCTGAGATCTTGTGATACCCGTTATTCACAGTGATTGTTGAATATTTAACAGTTATGTCCAGCAACACAGGTACATAAAAAAACAAAAAATAATATAAACCAAATATACAATAGGGACAACGAAATATTTTATATCTTGCTGTGAGGAAGAGGTCAAGGGCGCTGA